GCCGTACTGGGTCTTGCCATTATAGGATCAGTCTTTAAGAATGAACTTTCTAAAAATCTGGATTCTGTAAGAAATGAAATAGTTCAACTTGCTCCCTATTTGCCGCCCCTAACCTCATCAAACCTTGTCAATATTATAACAAACTTTTCGAGCCGCTTGCCCCAAAAGGTGATTGTACTCGTAATTCAACAATTCACGAAATCCTTGGGTACTTCATTTAAGGTGGCGATTTCCTTTGGGCTCCTGGTATTTTTAATTTCGTTATTTATGGGGAACGAAAAACCCGGTTTTAAAAAAAGGGAGGGTAAAAGTGATGGCGCACTGGCGGGTCTCTGAACATTCCAAATAGGTGTATTATTTATTCACCAGTTTAAACATTACCTAGAAATTATGTATTATTGATAACTTTAAAGTCCCGTTAATTAAGTTTTTTTATACGTTATTATTTTTAATGCTTTGGAAAAAAAAAAAAGTAACATTCAACTTACGAATATGAATTTAAATGTGACATTAATTTGAGAGAAATAATTTAAAAATTGCCAAAAAATATCGAATTTTTAATATTGTTGTCTGAATAAACTTTTTGCAAGAAAATTGAGATTTAATACTTGTTCATAGGCATAAAAAAAAATCGAAATACTGTACTGTATATATTTATATCACATTATGTCAAAGTTTTTTATTTTAAATAATATTCGATATCCACGCATTTTTCCTTTGACATTCACGATTTTTTTAAAAAAAAATCATATGGCCATAACGATACATAAAACGATCAAATGATAATTCAAATTTATATTACGATTAAAATTTTGATCATTAATTTTTTTTTTAGACATACAGTCCGGTCAAAAAAAAAAATATAATAAAAATAAATTCATATTTTTAACAGAATACAATAAATAAATATTAAAACAATAATATTATATTAAAAAAAAAAAAAGACGATGATTTAAAATTTTTAAATTTTACATACATTAATTAAGCACAATGATCCTAATATCAACAATGATGTTTAATCATGAAATTACTTGAATATACAAATTAAGAAGGAAAAAAAAAAAACTTATGATAACATCAAGTTATTTACCTTTTATCAAGATTTAATAAAAAAAAACAAGGTTTTTACGATAAACAAATTTTTTAATAAATATTTTTTTAATAAATATTTTTTTAACAAATATTTTTTTAACAAATATTTTTTTAACGGGGGTTAATAATTAATTGATAAATTTACGTGTTTTTTATAATAATAAAAAAATGATGATAATAAACACCATTATTTTAAATCGTAATTAATATGTTCGTTCTTATAGAAAACCATACAACTATTTTTAATAAATCGAATTTTATTATTATTTTTTTTTTAAAAAAAAAAAATAGCTCGATTTTACATTGTAGATCGTCTATAAAAATTATTGTAAAATAATAATAATAATTTTGATTTTATTTGTCATTCTACTGTATTTTAATTATACAGTAGTTATTTAAGCATATCAATAAAATTTTTTTCTGATTTTATTATCTATATCTACAAATATATACAGTATATACAGTATGTTTATTTATTGATCTTAAGTTATTAATAAGAACCTATGCTCTTTTACGATTTAAACTATATTAAATAGAATGCCACTAATGTTAACGTTCCCCCTTAACCCACTACGCTTCTCGCTATTTCCCTTTTCCTACTGGGGCGCTGTAATTAAATAACGTTATACAGCGTCTCTTACCTTACCGCACCATAATATCGTACTTGTTCAAAATTATTAATCGGTAAAATAGTGCAACGACTACTATAAACTTTCTTCCACTTGTGGCATGTTAATAATTGCGCATTAGTTCATTTACTATCTGATTATGCTATTTTTACATTATGTTTCTCCTGGCATTTAATTACCTAAACTAATACTGTTGTAAGTCACGTGATAAATATCCTGGTCCGTGACGCGATCCTATACCTACCAATTATACATATTTAGTAAATCAAATAAATATATTTAGCAAAAAATAAATGTAAAAATAAATTAGTGAAAATATATTTAGTAAAAAAACATATCTGACTTACTGTATATAATCATGAAAAAGGTCTATTGATAATTATATGAAACTGACTTTGGTTAGCATTGTAATTGTCATTTAATATGGAGCGAAGTCAATGGATCGTGTTTGCTGCTGCTTATCACACCACGGTGATCCATATATATAAGGTAAATTCCAATAAAAAAAAACACACTGTTGAGGAACGAGGATTCTATGTTCAAAATGAGTTTTCCTTTTTTTTTAGGGTTAGGAAAAAAAAATAGAGAATTTAATGCAGTTCGTGAATGCATTATAAATACCTTCTCATATATCAACAGGTTGTCGTTTTCGTAATAACCCGCTTTGCTCGTAACGCCAATCAAATATGAAATATACAATTATCGCGTACGCGTTCCTCATTTTTTTCTCTATGGAGAGACTATTAGAAATCACTGCGGCACCAGCCGTAAGTCCATGTTCTAAATTTGGCAGTTATGTAAAAGGCGAGGATTATTATGTTCCCGTACCAATGGACGAAGTTCGTTCGTGCCTTACTTCATTTTCATATAATTCAACAGCTGCGAACGAGGTTTGTTTGGATTCAATAAAAATAATTCTTGATTCTTATTCTTACAATTATTAAATTAAATTATTTACAAATTTAGATTGTTGATTCGATTATCAAAGCACTTACCGGGTATTATGTATTCCTGGATTCTGCGCGTGACCCTCCAAATCCGGGCAACACATACAATGAAATTGATATAGTGAGCGCTCTCAAAGCGGTGCTGCAAGGTGATTTCAAGACGGATTATGATTTCATGGTAATAATAATACGTAACAATAGATCTCCGTATCCTTCAAAGAAGATTAACGAATGATTGTTATTATTTTTTACTTATACTGTATTTAGATTAACGTAACAAATACATTAGATCAACTAAAAGATGCGCACACAGGTCTTTTCCCTAGTTGTTACGATGGCTTCACGTACATCCAAGGCTTAGACCTATACTCTATCGTTGATTCTAATGGTCATCAATCTATCAAAGTCTGGAAGGATTTCATTGACAATTCAAATTCTGAATGCGATGTACTGTTCATCGATGGCATACCCGCGATCCAGGCAATTAAACAGTACGCACGGGATGACATTGGTCTAGTCCGTGATCTTGGCGTCCGATTTAATATGGCACTTACCGCACTCACGGCTGGTGGAACATCTGAATTTTCTAACTATTTTACCCGACGCCAATATTTACCGCCAAGTGATAAAATCACTTATACATTAAAATGTAATGGAGTAACAAAGAAGGTCATACGTAAATGGACAGCTTGCGGTTCTACTGAAGACTTGGAGAATGTGACTAGTGCTGAAAAGTACTGGGTTAAAAATTGCGCGCCGTCTTCTGGTTTTTCTGATCTTTCTAAGACACGCAAGTCCCAATATCGAAAATTATTTGAAAAACTAACGCCACAAATATTAAAAACTTCACAAACAAATAATATTTGTCGAATAATCGATTCAAGCGTTCCAAACCCTGTAAAATTAAGTCACGCTCAATTATTACTCGACGAATTTGAAACAAAGTTTTATTACTTACCAGAACAAGATACAGGTGTTATAACAATGACTGAAGTAGACGTTACAAACTTTATGAAAGGTTTCCAGAAGTTTATTGATAAAGGTGTAAAGAAGGTACCATTATTGGATTCTACTCTTTTTATTTTTCTTCCATTTCTAAATTAAACTGATATACCGTATACTGTATCTAGATCATTCTTGATCTGACCGGCAATTCTGGTGGCTCTATTTTTGCGGCACATGATCTGAACAAACTTCTCTTTCCTAAAACCGATCCTTATTTTAACACTGACTTTAGGGTTAGTGATCTCCTCCGATTATCCATCCAAAATTCGAAAAGTCCAAATACCAGTATAACCTATCCTGGCTTGTGGATCGATCCGCAGACAAAGAAGCCATTTAAAAATGCCAAAAGTTTTATTGGTAACAATGAGTATACGCGTGGCGGTGTGACCGAACATTATACATCACAATTAATTGAGAACGATAATCCTTTATCAGCACATGTGCTGCCATGGAAAGCGACGGACTATGTTATTCTATCAAACGGATTTTGTGGATCATCATGTTCATTAATTGCGACACACCTCGCAGAAGAAAATAATATCCTCACCGTCTCTGTTGGTGGGTTTGCTAATACACCAATGGCATTTGCGTCTTTTAGTGGGGGACAAGTATATGGCCTTTACAGGATCTTAAAAGAGCAGAGAGAGATTGGTTTGGGTAATAATTCTCTCGCACCACAACCTCTTCCGGTATATGCTGAATTAACTTTTGCTATTAGAGAAGCGTATAGTAAGTCAAATCCAGAGGAAGTGCTAGAATTCTCATATCGACCGGCAGCAAAACGCTTGTATTACGATAACATAAGTGCTAGGGATCCGAGTGAATTGTGGGTACAAGTTGTAGCCTTATTGAATGATGATAAATAATTAATTACAAATTACAAATTAGTATATAAATATATTAAATATATAGTATTATATAAAAGTTTGATTGCAAAAAAATCTGCAATAAACTTGTTTAGAATAGTTTTTAACTTTAACAATTAAAAAATAATAATTCACAGCACACGTCACTATTTTTTTTTTTTTTTACGGCAATTCTAATACTTCATATTACCAAGACGGCAAATTTTCATTTGCCTTTCTTAGATTGATACGATTATAAAGAGATAAACAACAATTTAACCTTAAGTATAGGCTAAACTCGCAAAGTTTATTACTATTGAACTAATATGTATACCTTTGCGTATAACTAAAAATAAACTTAGTAACACATGTGTTACGAGAAAAAAATGAAGAAAGAAAATAATAATATGATATGTATTTGAGTTTAATTAAAAAAAGTTCCTTGAATATGGAATTAACGGCTTATGTATGGGTGAATTTCAGAACAATATTAATCGCTTCATAGTGTTGTGGGCAAGATCAGGGATGTGAATGTGACCAGTAACTCGACGCATAATTGTTACGCGTCAAAAGGTGTCATAAAGTAATAATGACTTAGTAATTGGTGATGGAGAAAGTGTATGAAAGAGTAAGTAAGAATTGTGACAAAAGAATGAAGAGTTTTAGCGTGAATTTCAGATACACGGTAATTACTTTGGTTTGCTTTATCTAAAAACGTGATCTCAAAGGAACCGCGATTAAAGGGTGTCAAGGTTTTAGTCTGGAATGAAGGATATCAAAAGTATACAAGGGATTTAAGAGTGGTAAAAGAAAAGAAATGCAATTCTGGTTAAATCGTGACACGCCTTAAGAGCCAAAGCCTACTTTCTCATGCGGCATAACCTAATTTTTCGGTCTAACGTCATGTGAATAACTGATTCGGGTTAGTATTTATGCAATATAAAACATATATTTTTATTACGTACTGTATCTGTAAAATTGATATTGTTTTGTTTATTAATACTTAAATTATTCAAATTAATTTTAAACCAAAAAAATCTGAAGTTACTTGATTGTAAATTATTTTTAATAATATTATATTCAGACATAATAAGTCGTGAGGCTTTGAAAAAACATTCATTACAGTCAAATACAGTTGGAGACAAAAAAAATCACCTTTGATGTTTTTATTATAACTTTATAAAAAATTATTTAAATAATAAAAAAATTTTAATATATATTCTTTAAAACTTAAAGAATAAGGTTACTTGAAGATTTTTTTATAAAATATATTATTAAAAATTTTTTTAAATTTAAATTTAATAACTTAAAAAAATAATTAATCAAAACTTTAATAATTTTTTAATATAAATTTAATATAGACAAAAATTGTAATTTTTTAAAAAAAAAAATAATTTAAATGTAATTTTTATTTGTTATATAATGAAAATTTATTTATTTTATAATTTAAAAAAATTTTTTATTTAAGCACTTTTTATAAAATAACTTATTAAAATTTTTTATAATAATTTTTTTAAATAATAATTTTTAAGATAAATTTTACTTACAAATAAATTTTACTTTTCTAAATTTAAAATAAAATAAAAATTAAATAAATACATATTTTTCAATAAAATTTATATCTTTTTTTTCTTATATTCTAAAGAATGTTTTTGTAAAATTTCATAAAATTTAAATAATTATTTATTGAATTATAATTAAAAATATTAATTGAAAAAAAAGATGTTTTTTTTGTCCCCGACTATATATATGACAGGCATTCACCATATCGCAACTTACCTATTATATCTTTTATAAGTCCATTTATATTTATAATATCTTTTTTTCCAATATGGCTTATAATATCGACACCTAGCATATCAAGTTCTATAATTACTAGGGTACTTATGATAATCCCTGTAATATATATGACGTGACAGTTTTGCGATAGTTTTGTTTATATCTTGGATAATACGTCATTGGAAATTTACAGGAACAAACACAAATAACAGGAGTATTTATACTTATTTATTAATCATGAAAAAACACATATGTATGTTAAGATCAAAAATAAAACAATAATTATCAAAAATATAAACAAATTACAACTCGATAGTTGCGTTACCAGCATTATTGCTTGGTTTACAAACATTACGAAGAACATTTCTCTTAAAATGATTATCAATATATCTAAATACACCATTATCACCTTGAACATAATCATTAACTTTTTTAAACTCTATAATAACATCTAATCTCCTATCTAATGTTTCAAATACCATATTTGGATTTTTATGAAAATCATATCACCTATCCGGAGATACATTTGATGTTATAATAATATATTCACTATTAAATACTGTAATTCCTCCTTTGACTTTAACATCCAATAGATAACAGTCTAAGAGACGGAGAAGAAAATCAAAGGGAAGCCATCCGTAGAAGTCATCGAGCACAACAATAGAATACTGATTGTATCCATCCCACTAGTAATTACGCAACTTCCAAAACGCCAATAGATACTGTTCCATGCAATATTGGAATTTTCTGCTATCAGTTTCACCATAGAGGATTTTCACAATTGTTTTCATTTAACGAGGGCACATGTAAGTCTGAATTGCTTTTTGAAAAGCCTTATAGTTCCTATACCACAAAAAAAAGTTATACTCCATTAGATCTCACTCACTGGCACCTTTTTTAATCATGATATGGATTTCATTAAGATCATTATGTTGACCTTGTCTTATCAACATACCCCATTCCCAGGATCCTTCCACCTGAGAGTCTTCTTTTTTGCAATATGCAATAGTTTGATCACGTGTTCCTCTTTGTGATTCTCAATGTGCTCTTGAAAGAACTTTGCATACACCTTCAATACGTTTTGGAGTTTTGAACTCAGCATATTCCTGATAATGCAAGGTACCTGACTGACCTATTTCTTTTTGTCAAACTATAAAGTGAAGGTCTGGCATAGTTTCAGGATCAAGTTGTTTGGCCAAATTGTTGAGAGTAAATAACCAATAGCAAGAGCATGTATATTCTGCCATAGTTTTTAGATATTATTTGAATTTAATGTATAAAAGATGATAGACAAAAATGTGAAAGCACCTGTATATATAAGAATCTTATCGTACATACAGTACGCAAAAAGATCGCATTAACAAGATCAGTCGCATATGTACGTTAATCAGTTTACGTGACACAACGCGACACAGCGCATATTATATAAAATGTTCTAGCCAATCAAATCACTTTGTGCTATTTTTCATCGATCCTTGTGCCAGGCACAAAGCCTAGATCATTCTATGCAGGGATCGTTATAGTAAAATTACCTTTTATATCAATGTACTTACCATATATAATAATGGCATGAAGATCTAACACAAAGTTGGGAGGTAACAGTATTTATCAAAATTACATAATATAATTTTTATTTATATTTATAGTTTGATGTAACTTCTATTATTAATATTAATATAATTTCTATTGTTAATATTAATTACTGATCGGTATTTTAAAAATATCAAAACTGATTGGTACTTTACTGAAAATTTCAGTTTGATATTTTAGTTTTAAAATTAATACCAAAACCAAAACTGATAAATCAGTAACAATATTTATTGATACCAATTGGAATCCTAGCAACAGTTTATATCTAGAAAAATATCAATATAATTTAGTATATACATGTAGTGTAAATTATTTTACTGTTGACTCAATTTCCAAAATCCTCAAAAATAATTGTGTCATAACTCAATTATTTATATGTTTTAATAGTGACTCAATTAATTATGTCAATTGCATCAAGGATCTATGAATTTCAGCAACATGTATAGTTTAATATACATTTATCAATTAATATTATAACATAGTTTATATACAAAAATATGTATAAATATATATAAATATTAATTTTAATAAAGTTTGCTAAACAAGGTCCAGCTAGTTTAAAAAAAAAAGAATATTCTAAAAGAATAATTAATATATGTAACAAAATTTCTATAGAAATGATTTATATCAAATCTAAATTCAAACTAGCATTAATCAAAATCATTTAGTAAATCAATTTCTTATTATATTTTTTAAAAAACTTTTTAATTAATAAAATATACTTAAGTAATAATATCAAATAATACAAAAAAATTTTAATATTATAAAGAATTATATAATCTGTGAAAACTTTTTTGTTTTTTAAATTTTTAAATAAATATATACTTTATATAATCTAAAAATTATTAATTAATTTAACAAAAATATTAAAAAAATATATAATAATAAATATAATATCTTAATAATATTTAAAATCAATTTATTAAAGAAATAAAAATTTTTTTTACTGATCCCTTTCGCCAATTCAAAAAACAGATGTTCTCAAAAGACTTTTTGTCTTTATAATAATAAAGTCTATACACTTTTCTTAACAACACTGGTTCCTTAATTAGCAGAGTGAACAGAAGCTACTATTTGTTTTATTTTTTCTTTTCAAAACACTTTTCTTGTTTATTTTGGTAACTAAATACAAGAAACTTACCTAAAAGGTCTATAGCAAGAACATCTTTATAGAAAGAAAACTGACAAGAAAAAATACTTTCCAAAGACTTCCAAAAGATTCAAGAATCTAGAGAAATAAAAACAAAAAAGTCTCCAGTCTTTTCATTATCTCTTTGGTTTTTCTCTTCTTTTTTCTCAAGTATGCTTCCTTTTTTCTGGTTTTTCTGGAGAATTTTGCTTACCTCAGTTTGATCCTGAATTTTTTGTTACACTGAAATCTCCAATTAATGATTGGTCAAGATTTTGAATTGGCTGATTAACACATATCAGAAATATAAACAAGATATATACTCCTCACATGTCTCTATCACATAATATAACAATACTGATGTAATTGATAAAAGCAAAAGAGCAAGGTGTCATAGTGTTCTTTTAAATAAAAGTGGCTTAATGTTTTCCCCTTTCCTCTTGGACTGGTTTCTTTTCTCCTCAAGATCAAAAGAAGTCTCATTCCAATCCAGTAACAAGCTCCCTCTATTGATGATTATTCTGAGAAGATATCAAACATGTCAGGTCATAAGACTTTATAAGCAATAATTCCTACAATAAGTTTTGCTATAAGTACCTTGAATGTTCTTGGTCAACAATGGAATAGTGAAAATTAAATGGTTCACCCAGCTACAAGTGATGATAAAGGATTTATTCCCATAGATTAAAGTTGATATTGGAGGGTTTTTATTTATCAGAACAAACTCTTCAATTATCCTTTTTTTTTTTCTATTATTTTCTTAAAAAAATAAAAGATTTTTTAATCTCCATAGGATTACAGTAATTATGTAGAAGTGACAGTTCTAAATGAGAGTTGGTTGTGATGTTTTAAACTAGTGGAAAATTATTAGAATAGAATTGAGCAATTTTTTTATTTCCCATAATCATATCTAGAGACCTTAGACTTACGATGAGTATATTGCATAGTCTCAATAAGTTTAGCCTTATATAGTATTTTTAATATACATGTATAAGAGTCTTCCATATAGGATTAATTAAATATAATAAATATGCAACTTGATTTGAAGTTAAAAAAAAATAAAAATAAAAATAAAAAAATAATGTTTATATACAAAAAATAAAAAATTATAATTTTGTTTTTAATCAAATCCAAAATTATAATAAAAATAAAAAAATTATATTATAACTATATTGTTTTTTTTTTATAGTAAAACATGTACATGATATATAATCTTTATTGATATATTTATATATTCAAACAAATATCAAGTATCTTTACAAATTAACTAGAAATTGATTAATACATAAATTAATACTACCTAGTGCATATATTGTTATAAGACTAGTTGCACCAACTACTATTACCTGATTATGTATTTATTTAAATACCTAAGGATATGTTTACATGTCAAGTAAAATTTTCCACAAGAGAAAAAATCCTATTACTAATTTAAACTTATCTAATCTACTAAGTCTATTATTGCAAGAAGCAAGTATTTATGAAATATTATTATAAAGATTAACTTTAGTATTTCAATTATTGTTATCACTTGATTCTTGGAATATATTACTAGCATAATATTGTACTACTATTTTCATTATACATGTTGTTGAAATTTATAGATCCTTGATACAATTGATGCAATTATTTGACACAATTAATTGAGTCACTATTAAAACATATAAATAATTGGGTCATGACATAATTATTTTTAAGAATTTTGGAAATTGAGTCAATAGCAAAATAATTTATGCCACATGTATAATTTTTATTACCTGTGGAACTGGCATTTTTGCTTGGATTTTGATTTATTATTGACAATTCTCATTAGACTTATTTGATCTTGATGATTTTTACTTGGATTGTTACTATCTATAGCAGATGACTTTTGCTCTTTTAGTCCATTTTAAGTTCAAGAGAATATCATCTTGGGATAGATCTTCAAGCTTCAGATTGGAATAAATCAACTTAGAATTAGCCTCTTTATATTATATAATAGAATTTGCTGTTACCAGTTTGGATTAAAATTTGTAGGCTTATTATTGAAATTAGATCAAAAGTTTTTTCTTGTACAATCTTTCTTGCTTTGATCTGTTTTCAGTTCACGATCATTGGAAAGATCAAAGGTTCTATCTTAATGCAGTCTAACTAAATTTGAAAGTTGATTTTTAGCTGATTAGATACAATATGAATTGGAAACTAGTTAACCAATCATAAAGATGATAAATTTTTTTATAACCAAGTGGATTTAACCTTAGACATTCTTCTGGTGACCTATGGAACATTATTACTATACTATAGACCCATAGGTCATACTATAACTATTTTGTTTTCTCAAAAATAAATAAATAATTGATTATTTTTTTAAAATTTAAATAATATCAAAATTTAAAATTGATATTAATTTTTATTTAAATATATTTTTTTTTGTTTAAATTTTTCAAAATTATATAAAATTATAATAAAATAATAAGAATAATATTCTTATGCAGCTTGAATTTTTAGTTGAATTTTTAAAATTGGTTTGCATATAGTAAGGCTTGAAGTGAATATAAAAATGCTTACATTGGTTTTGACAAAAATAATTTTTAATTTAAATAAATTTATTTTTTATAAATTTATTTCTTTAGATATTATATTTTCATAACTTTTATTTACGTATTTATTTTATTTATAATTTTTTTAATTTACAATTAAAATTTCAAATAAATGCAGAATATTGAGTAGTTTAAACGTATGTATCATAAGAAAAAGACATTTAATGTAATTAAAAATTATACTCATAAATGCTACTAGACTTAAAGCAGTTAATTAAAATGCGTCTTAGATTATTGAGTCATGACGCCGCCACGGAATTGAGACAGTTTTAGCTAGCATTGAATCGGCTGTAAATTTGTTTTTTTACTAGATTCAAGGATACTCATCAAAAAGGCGCAATTGTTTTCTTAAGGTGCGGATCAAGATAACCATTTCAAGTTGACTATTTCTCAAGCTTATCCTACGAGTAAGTAGAGTTTCATAACGAAAGTCAAGAATTTAGAGGTTTTTCTATGGATATTTCATGAGACTTTGTTTTTTGTGCGAGCGGAAAAGGAATTATGCAACTAAAAAGTGACATGGCTCTTCATCACATTTCATATTTGATATATTTGATCTCGACCCTTAGTCGAATCATATGTACGTCTAAAAATGACTGGTAAAGAAAGTAATTACACTTGTAGGCTCGCAAATATAGTTTGATTAAAAAAATTTTGAGTATTATGTCTGTATTTTCTTATTTCTTTCAGAGATATTTTTATAACAAGGTATAGTAATAATAAAAAATGATTGACTTGTCATGTAACATGATGGAAACCTTCGAAAACATTTGCTCTTGCACAATGATAAAGATAATACTAGCACAATAACCATGCAAAGAATCAACTAATTTTAATTGTGAGTAGATCCTATTATTGTACATTACAATTTTACTGGATATATATTATTTTTTTCTTATTCGATGAGGGATTTATTTATACATTTGCTATTCTTTCTTCCAACGAGCTTCTTTGTTTTCCCGTTGCTGCCCTAATTTCTTCCGAGAATATCCTATTTATGGCATTTACATATGCTTTCGCGCTAGCTAAAACTACATCGACATCCGTACCATGACCATGATACGTGTTTTTGGTCAACTTCGTGTTTCCCTCTGAATCTATTTTAGGCTTCACCACTCCGGCAATAGCGTGTTCGTGTGAATTCGCTACAGCTTCCAAACCCGACGAATCAACATCCTCAGTCACTTTCACGATGACCTTTCCTAAGGCATCCATCCCCTCAGATACAGCACGTACTTCGTATTTCAGCAGTCTTATTTTGCGTTGCACTAATCTCTGGATAGCACCAAATACTGCCATGATAGGTCCAGTTCTACCGATGGCCGCATCTACCAATTCTTGATTCTTCATTGAGTCCATGAGTTTCACAGTTGCTGTGGCCATTTGAGTTCCAGAAACTACTTGGATTGATTGTAATTGGAATCGTTGTGATTCAGGTGCAGTATCTGTTGTAACCTGATCTGACAATAAGGCAAGGAGGTCGTGATCCGTGATACGTTTTTTACTATCTGCTAATTCCTTAAATCGATCGAATGCTTTGTTGAAGTCGACTTCAGCCATATCTCCGTAGCCAAGCTCGGTTATACGCGAACGAAACGCGTTACGCCCCGAGAGTTTGCCCAAAACCAGGTTAACATTGAAGACACCTACATCTTCAGGACTCATGATCTCGTATGTTTGCCTGTGTTTCAACACACCATCTTGATGGATACCCGATTCATGAAGGAATGCGTTGGCACCCACTATGGATTTATTTGGTTGTACCACCATTCCAGAAAGGGAGGAAACCAGAGTAGAAGTTCGATAGATTTGTTGGGTATTAATGGTGTGAAAGACTGGGTATGACGATGGATGAGTGTGAATATTCATGATGACCTCTTCAAGCGCGGTATTGCCTAAATTCGTTAATCACTTCTTTAATATCTCACAATAAATGAAATCCAGGATGCTGGATAATCATAAAATTCGAAGAATGTCGGTTCAACAAACCTGCGCGTTCTCCAATACCATTGATAGTCACCTCAACTTGTCTGGCACCATTGAGGATTCCAGACAAGGTGTTGGCCGTGGCGAGACCCAAATCATTATGGCAATGTGTTGACCAAACAACCTAGAGAATAATTTGTTTATTTATCACGAAAAAAAAAAAAAAGGAAATTAAAATAACAAAAATTAAAAGTCACCTTGTGACCTCCAGGCGTATTCTCAATCAAGTACTTGATTAGAACTCCATACTCTTCCGGACTTGTGTACCCAACCGTATCCGGAATGTTCAAGGTGGTGGCTCCGGCTTCAATCACTTTACCCAAGACTTTGCACAGAAAATCTTTGTCACTTCTACCGGAATCCTCCGAGCTGAATTCAACGTCCTCGCACAGGGACTTGGCATAGGCAACTGCAGAAGCCGCACGTCTTATGCATTCTTCTCGATCAATCTTAAGTTTGTGTTTTAAATGTATGTCCGACGTAGCGAGGAACGTGTGGATGCGATGAAGAGGCGCATGTGATACAGCTTCGTGACATCGCTTTATGTCTTTTTCGGTTGCGCGCGCAAGTCCGGCAATGACCTATGGATGAAAAAACCATTTATTCAGCGACCATCGATCATTTGATTCGACATTCATTTAGAAAGAACGACTGACCATAGGCTTGCCAATTTTTTCTCGTCCGTTCATAAGGGGGCCAACTTCCTTTGCGATACGTGCGACTGCATCAAAGTCACCTGGTGAAGCTATCGGGAAGCCTGCTTCAATTACATCAACCCCGAGACTCGAAAGGTGCCTAGCAATTTCGAGTTTTTCTTCAGAGGTAAGTGTAACACCTGGTGACTAGAGTTAAAATTAATTATATTTTAACATTGCTAGAGATCTTATATTATGAATGAGGATACAAGGATCGAGGAACAAAGTTAGGCTACCTGTTCACCGTCGCGTAGGGACGTGTCAAAAACGATCAGTTTCTCTTTAGACACCGGCGTACTAAAGCATCGATTCAGTTTAAAATTAGGAAATACTATCGTTCGAGTATTTTGTGTTAATTTGGTGAATGAGGAATTAAAAATTCGATTCGTTGCGCTTGGGCGGTATAAGGTGTTAAACGTTTTTGCGAACATTTCTGGGGTGCAAAAATGAGATCTTGATCGTGCATCTCAAAATCTTTTCAGACTTATTTATATATACGAATTATGCCAATCAGTGTTTATATACATAATTGGTTCGTGTGAATTCTTCATGACTCATAACATCGTATATGACTAATATAACAGGATCATCTAAAATACACGTAACACTAGTCGTTAAATTAATGCAAGGTGAATGTTTGAACTGTCGAGAATAGGTAAAGTCACATTGACTCATGAGCTCACAAGGATGACGGTCCACCTACGCGATCTTCTAGTTGAAAGTACTTGAAAGTACGCGACGCACGTACTGTATGTAACCTAGTAAATATCGATTGATCATCAACAGAATAAATATTATGACTGAGCTTCAAATTACACAGCTGGTTTCTTTACAATGAAATTATTGCATATCTCAATTCAAATACAGAAAACTTTAGCCATTCAAGATTTTTTTATTTATTTGATGATAGCTTTTTAATTTAAATTATCATGTACCCTTTGCGAAATTTAATCATTTTTCGTATTCGTTGGTTTAACCTTCGCGAATCCAAATTTTTTCAAGAGAAGGCATAAAAGAAGAAGAGGAGTTATCACGAATATACATATATGAATGAACACATCCATGTTTTTTTTTTTTCTTTCATCAATACCCGGAAATTTTGAGGTTGAATCTCTGTCATACCCGGAGATTTCCTGATTTTCATGTCACGTATTAATACGCGACTTGTGAATTGCTGTTTCCCCACGAACCTGAAAAATTGGTATCGAATCTTAGTGGGATTTTCTCTCGGAAAGATAAAGGTTAGCTGGCTCCTTGTCACCTATGTTTCGACGATACTCTTGCATTTCCATTGCAATATTTCTATAAACAGTGAAAAAATAATATAATGTATGAAGATTCGGACCAGGAGGTTTGGAACGAGAAGACGAAAGAACGTCTAGCGAAACTCCGTGCCGAATATATGGCCAAGAAGGAAACTGAATCACCACTTGTTCCAACAAAGCGTAATACATTGAATAAAGCTAAAAAAAGCACAGAAACTAATAAAAAGCAAAAGTCTTTGAGTGGAATTTTTGAAAGACGAGTGACAAACGCGTCAAACAATAACTCTTCTCAACCATCATTGAGACTTTTTGATAAAAATAATGGCAATACAACTACAAAGAGTCCTCTTAAATCAATTCATGACCCGGAAGAAAATGCCGCTATTACCGGTTTCAATGTTCCAAATGAAAATTCCGAACCATTTTTCGTTCCCATTGAACCGTACAGCTCAACAACCGATACGAAAGGTATATATTTAACATAAAAGTCACAAACTATATGATCATATATATATATGTATGGCTGAATAGCCTAATTACACGAAAGGTATACGGTCCGAAAAGAGATCGATAACAACAATGGATCAAGTGATCAGTACGTCAAAATCGAATTATTGGAATTCACTAGACACGAAACTAGCTTCAAAAGTGAATATCGTTGGAATTGGAGAAAGATTAAATAACAATCTTGTAACCGAAATATCGGAAGATGCATCGCTTAGGACAGGATATAGGCTACATCAATCGAATACTGTTGATGAAATGGAGATCGACGAAGATTGTGAAAAAAAAAATAACTATCCTGCATGTAGAGAATCATCGAAAAAACTTTCACTTAAAGCGAGTTTTCGGATATTATATTATTTTATTTCAAATCTTAATTTATTTGGATAGAAAGTTTCAACCATTTTATTATTCTCGTTATTATAGGAATCTGCCCTTTATGTCACCAAATGCCTCGACTATCCTTCGTCGTGCACAACGACCTCGGAGAAAGAGATCAAATCTGTCGTTGAAAACCATAACCTCGAAATGGTTGATGTTAAAGTGGAAACTAGGGCGAATGAAAATAAGGCGGGCCTCGAAGATTTTACCATCAATATGCATGATGTTAAATTTGAAACTGTATTTGATACGAAAGAATTGGCGATAAAACCGGATTTAATCTTTGCGAAGTCTGATATTAACGTTTTCAATGCTGCTGTGGAGTCAACCTCAACGACTGGAGAGTCTTCTGAAACAAAATTATCTCGTGATATCAAAGATCCCTCTGTATGGAGTGAGATATTTAGTTATAAGGAAAAAATTTCATCCGAAAATGGACCATCCGAAATTAGGCAAACATATCCTATAAAGAATGAATCGAATAGCAAGAATTCGAATATTTACACGAAACCAAGCAAAACTGTTCCTTTTTATAAGAGAATTCCAGGCACGTAGATTTTGAATTTTACCTACGTCATTTCATATCGAGAATGAGGATAATTTTATTTACTTAATTAATTATTTAACAATTTTGAATGATGATATATTCATTAGGAACGAGCATCACGGTTGATGCGTTCAAATATGGTAAAATTCCGGACTGCACTGCATATTTTTTAAGGTACCGTGTGTATGTACAAACATATCACCAAACATGACTACATGATACTTACATCATAAAATCTTTCAAGCCATTTTCACTCTGATCATTATTGTGGATTATCTTCGAAATGGTCGCATGGGCCCATATATTGCTCTGCAGTTACTGCAAATCTGGTGGTTCAACAGTTGCGTGTCAACGATCGATATATCAAGAGATTACCATTAAACGAGGAAATTGAGATCGAGGGAACTGACATTAACGTCACTTTGATTGACGCAAACCAGTAGGTAGATTTGCCGCCAACCAATACTTTTTTGACATTATTTCACTCATTATTCCTATTTTTCAGTTGTCCAGGGTCTGTACTATTTTTGTTCAAGGATAAACTCGCCAGCGGAGAAATAATGCGATATCTTCATACTGGAGATTTTCGTGCTTGCCCACGCCACGTCCTTCACTCGGCAGTAAGGCAATCTATCAACCCAGAAATTGATATCCTCTATTTGGACACCACATATTTGAACCCGAGCTATTGTTTTCCAGCTCAAGAACAGGTTGTGAATGCTATCATAGATTTTGTCAAAAAGGTAGTGAAAAATGGAGAGCCGCTTCCCATGAAACAGAATAAAAACAAAAAAAATCAGCAACGGGATAAGTCGCAGCTTTCATTGACCCAATGGATTACGCGTAAATCGCAGTCATCTTCGGATGGTGTAGATCCAACTAGAAGGGTGATCTCTGGAGAGATATTGGAAAGAGGATTGTCTGCCAACGAACCCACCATGGAACATAAAGAACAAGAACAAGTTAGGTTGGAGGGCAGTAAAATTTTGATATTAGTTGGTACATATTTGATTGGTAAGGAGAAGGTCTTTCAAGGTACGTAAAGCTCTGTAACTTTTATCTGTCATGTATTAAATTGGAAATAAATGCAAGCTTTCATTACAGGAATCGCACGGGCTCTTAATTCAAAAATTTACGCGTCAGATTCTAAACGAAAGATCCTCTTATGTCAAGAAAACCCAGAATTGACTTCGTTACTAACGAATGACCCCCGTGAAGCATCTGTTCATGTTGTTCCTATCAAGTTACTAAGATACGATGTACGATAATTTCCACTGAATACTTAAATACGGTGTTAAGTTAAATAAATATTTATTTTTGAACTTGGATAATTGTAGAGCTTGCAGGCTTATCTCAAGGATCTCGAACCGACATTCAAATATATAATGGCGTTTCGACCCACTGGATGGTCATTTAGGTCTTCCGAAGAAGTAAAAGTAACAGATAAAAGTAACACACAGGATATACTGAATAAGACATCTGCCTACACCATGGACTCAATTTCACCGTCCAATAATTCCCGTACGTGCCAGATATTTGAAGTTCCTTATTCTGAGCATTCAAGTTTCCGCGAACTTGCAGCATTCGTTACGTCATTGAATGTGAAAAGGATAATACCAACAGTTAACAATGGGTGAGCTCCACATGATTCCAGTGTTTGCGATTTAGGAAAATATTAAGGTATATTCCGTTTAATAGGTCTGAAAGAAGTCGCGCAGAAATGGAAAGTTGGTTAAATCAATGGCAGAATAATAAGATAAATAAAAAAATTGATGTTGTGCCTTATCCTGACGTAAATTACTGTAAGTACGCATTAATTATTCGGATTGCTTTTTTTCAACCAAATACCGTTAAGTATATACGTACATGTATGTTGCTATTCCTATAGGGTGAATATCGAATTTTGAGACAAATTCCGAGATGGTAATACGTGGACAACTGTAAATGAATAAATACTTCAGTTAGTAGATTTATTCTCAATATAGATAAACGTAGCTCAATTTTAAACATAGATCTTTTACGATACGCAAAAGTCAACTTGTTAAGGCTTATGGAGGACAATAAATTTTAATTCTTGCTGCGGAAAGATGTGCATGTATCAATCGACATCGTTGCACCCAAATTTATACCTGCCAAATTAATGATTCAATCATTGATGATATGATGAAATGAACTAAAGCTTGTATACACATGTAATTAGTGATGTTACTTTATTCGGAAATTTTTTTCGTTTGCAAAAAACCGAGTTCAATATCCTTTAAATATCAAGAAAATTTCCCATTTCTAACGATCAACGCCTTCTTGGCTCAGTTGGCAGAGCGTCTGCCTAGTAAGCAGAAGGTCAGCGGTTCGATTCCGCTAGAAGGCATTGAGATGAATATTGATTCCAAATCAAAAATTTTTTTTTTCCAATACATCTTAATACAACCTTACTACAATCTATTATTTCGGTGTTAACTTTTTATAACGCAAGTTTCCGTTAACTGGTTATATCGATTAATAGATAAAATCCTTTTATAGACTTAGTAGTAGTTATCTGACTAGACAATTATTATTTTATTCACCGTGTACCCGTGTATAACAAATGTTTTTTCTAAAAAGAAATTTCGTTTCTAATTATGCAATTTCTTGTGCCTTCAATAAATACTTTTTTAACATTAAACTTATTGGAGTTAGCCTTTTAAAAAATAAGCATCCTGAATACAATATATTGATACAGTGTGGAATAAAACTAAACTAATCTTTATTCTAGCTTATATTAATTTATTAGTTTGTTTACAGATATACTGTATATAAAATTATTTGAAAATTTTATTTAAAAACAACAAATCTTTTTTACTATAAAAAAAATAATAACGATAAATTTTTTTATTCAAATAATTTATATTTATTAAATTTTAGTTATTATTATTATTTATTGTGTTAATATAATATAGATTAAAAAAACATTATCTTATTTTTAATATCAGAAAAAGATTTTTGCTTTTAAATTTTTTTATATTTAAATAATTCAAAAATCTTTAAAATAAATATAATATACAATCTTTAAAATGATTTTAAAATATTATTAATTACATTTGAATTTGATTTTTTTTAAATAATTGCTAATATAATATTTTAAATTATATATAAATTTTTATAAATTTTTTGTAATATAATTTTATAATAGTATATAAATACTGTATTTGTTTAATTATAGAAAAAATATATATTATTATAATTTTAAGTAAAATATAATTTTATTTTTAAAAATACTAACTGTACTATAGTATATGTAAAGATAAGTTCTTAAATTAAAGGCAAGGATGTAATTCAAATGGTTTTATTATTAAAAAAGATTTTTTTTAAATATAAGGTCAAAAAAAAACTATTTACAAAAATTTTTTGCAATTTAAGCCATTTGATCCAAATGTTTTTTGAATTATATTTCTATTAAAATAATAAATAATTAATTATGTCCTCTTAAAAGGAACATAATTGATTTACAAAATTTTATATGCTAAATAATTTAGGAATCCATTCTTAACTATATGTATAAATTTTATTAATTATTATAGATTATATTTTCTATATATAAATAGTCTAATAGCTATAACTAATTTAACTAATACAGTTAATTAATTAAATATATTAACTTATATCTTATGAATAGATTTATATATCAATGAAAATTTAAAGATATAAAATCTTGTTATTAGTTTTAAACTATTTAATCTTAATTTTTAAAAAAATAAAGTAATAATATCACTAGTACTAGTCCAAATTGAATTATTCGACTGCCGAATTACAGCTGATTAAATTCAAATTTATTATAAAAGTTTATACCGAAGTTTTGTTGTTTGGTCCAATTTATGCCACTTGACACTTAAAAAAAACACAATCATTCGGCAAAAAAAAATATAACATTCAACAAAAAATAAGTATTCGGCAATAAAATCATTTGGCAAAAAAATATTTCTAGTTAAAAAATATTCGGCAATAAGGTTACAATATTCTTTAATAAAAATTATAGCATTCAGAATAAATTTTTATTATTTAACTATAAAGTTGACAAAATTATTTGGCATT